TATTTGTTACTGAATGGACATGTAGTTAAATAAGAAGAGACATGCTTCTAAGTTCGGTAATAGTTTTTACAATGGAGTAAAGATATGTTCTTTTCACTTCCTTATAAACACCAAGCCCTATGAAAACACAATTTTCAAAAGAAGATAGACTAATGGCCAACAAACATATGAAAAAATGCTCAACATCTCTAATAATAAGGGAAATGAAAATCAAAACCACAACAAGATATCACTTATCTCCAGTGAGAATGGCCTTTATCAAAATGTCCCAAAACAATAAACGTTGGCATGGATGGAGAGAGATAGGAACACTCATACACTGCTGGTGGGCCTGCAAACTAGTACAACCTCAGTGGAAAGCAATATGGAGATACCTCAAAGAGACACAAGTAGAACTACTATTTGATCCAGCAATCCCATTACTGGGCATCTACCCAAAAGAACAAAAGACATTCTATAAAACAGACATCTGCACTAGAATGTTTATAGCTGCACAATTGACAATTGCAATGATGTGGAAACAACCCAAGTGCCCATCAATACATGAGTGGATTAAGAAAATGTGATATATGTATACCATAGAGTTCTACTCAGCCACAAAAAACAATGGCAATGTAGCACCTCTTGTATTTTCCTGGATAGAGCTGGAACCCATTCTACTAAGTATTACAAGAATGGAAAAACAAGTACCACATGTACTTACTATCAAATTAGTATTAACTGATCAACATTTAAGTGCACATGTAGTAATAACATTCATCAGGTGTCAGGCAGATAGGAGTGGGGTGGAGGGGATGGCTATATACACACCTAATGGTTGTGGTACGCACTGTCTGGATGATGGACACACTTGAAGCTCTGACTCGGGTGGGGCAAAGGCAATATACATAACCTAAATATCTGTATGCCTGTAATATACTGAAATAAAAATAAATAAATAAACACCAAGGCCTGTAGCACAATTTATTGAAAAGAATTCCAATGAGTTTTGGAACTAGATACAGTTCTCAATTTGTTCAATCAAGTTTTCTGACTTTCTATCAACTTATCTATAAAAATTGAATAGAAATATCTATACCACTTGCGAAATTACCATATAAATTTATCTTTTGTGAGATGAGGTCTTGCTGTGTTGTCCAGGCTGGGCTTGAACTCCTGGGTTCAAGCAAGCCTCCTGCCTCAGCCTCCCGAGTAGCTGGGATTATAGACATGTGCCACCACACCCAACACCATACAAATTTAAAGGTGGAAAAAGGAAGATCATCATATTGTAGAAGAATCAAAGCCATGTCTGTGGCTCTTACTAGATTTAACTCACCCTTTCCTACACCTTGTCCCCCCAAATTATTTTGTCCTTATGGCCTGAGATTCTCTATCACATCTAGCCATTTGTGACAGAAAGAAAAATAAAGACAGTGAGTAAGCCAAATGACAAAGATACAGATAAAGATATGCCCTGTTGCAATGCTTCTGTTTTTGAAATATCAAGTCCAGCTTCATTTTCTGGTGTAGTTAAAATGCTATGGGAAGCTTGCCTGAGACTGGAGGACATTGACCTTTGGTAGGTGTTGACTGCTCCTAAAGAAAGCTCCTTGCTGCTCAAAGGAATGGGGTGGAGTAGAAATACACCCTTGCAGAGGCAGAATGCCTCCTAGATGGGGAGCAGAGGACCATGCCCAAAGTCAATTCATTCCCATATTAGATCTTGAATTCTAAGTAGGTTTCCAAGCTTAGTTGTCCCTCTCGGGAACACGTAGGCTGCTGACCTTGTGTATCATATCTGGGTTAGTGTTTATGTCATAAGCAAAGAAATAACTCTAAGTAGTTTTTAAAAAATGGTTCTTCCTATTTGCAGGGGAGTTGCAAATACCTAATTTATAAGATATAAATGTAAAAATCATTCCCTAGCAGGAAGTCTTCCCTGACCCCCAGGAGAATAGGTTAGAATCCCCGTAGCTTGCCCTCAAAGCACTTATCTTAATAAAGAGCTAGCTTTCCATTTCCACATAAGTACAAATTCTGGATCCCTGAGTGAGAAGGCAGTAATTTTAGGCAGGATGAAGTATTTTCCCACCTTTTCTTAGAGGTCCATGGCAATACGTCTTCATGAGACACAAAATGTGGAAACCTCAGGTTGTTTTCTACAGCCAAAGCCAAGTTCCTTATGATTAGTGGACACTCCTCCTACAGTTTGGCAATCTGTTGGCCTTAATTTTCCATATTGTGGGCAAGATATATTGTCATCACTGATGTTTTAGAGGGAAGATGGGTAAACCTAAGGTCACTCGGAAATCGCTACCTAGAAGAGTGGGTGAGGCCAGAGGCTGACCAGAGTTCAAATCACTTACCTATCTGGGTCTGATTTCCATATGGGCCAAATGAGTATTTGATCTCTATAATCTCTGTGCCCCTCTACCCCTGGTCCCTTGTGCATTTTGTGGTTTCAAATCTGAAATTAATTCTGTTTGAATTTTATAGACAGAATGTTTTGGTTCTTTTCTCCTTCTTTCCAAAACCAACTGTTACTTTATTTGGGGTAAGATTGCTCATAAAACCTAAAACTATAATTCCATTCAGAGTCCAGAAATATTACTTACAGTCCTAGTTCTCTCTTTTCTCTTGATAGGATAAGTTTATGTATTATCATTTCAAATAAGGCCTTAAAATTATAAATGAAGGGACACAAATAACATCTGGAGATACAGAATAATTCACAAAGCAGTAAAACAGCCTGAAAAAAATACTGAATCAAAGAAGAAATAGTTTGGAAATGAGTTTTGTGGAATTATACAATCCCATTGCCTCAAAAATATGTCCTTTTCCCTGTGAGAAAATGAAAGAGTATAATTGATTATAATAAACATGTAGCTTTAAATCATAACAAAACCTATATCACAATTTAGAGAAAATGCATTTGATATGAGATTTTCAAATGTAACCAGTAGAGTTTCTCAAGCATGCTCCAAATTCACGTACAATAGATAGTCTCCAGCATGTGCTTATGAACATTCTTTCCTACAGAAAATCATAATTTCCCCCAAGAAAGGATGTCATTGACACAGAGGACCAAAGACTGAAGTGACAGAAAGATCTGTGGCTTGGATGCCATAAAAGACTGTATATCTTCTATATTCTCCTCTGGAATGAACAGGCTCAGGGAATGAGTGGGCAAGCCAGTAGCATAAGACCAACCCAAAGGCTTTCCCCATGATCCTTCTTGTTGTCAGGAAATCAGCTCCATTTAATAACAGAAAAGAGAGCAAAGAGCTCAAAGAGGATGGGAGGGAGGATGAGAGGGCTCACTCCCCATTATTCAGGAGTGGAAAAGCAGACACCACATGTAGCCTCTAATCATTTGGAATTAATCAATGGGCACACAGGGGCACAGAGAGAAGTAACAGTCCGTGGCTCCCTGTTACCTGTAGAATAAATACGAGCTCCTCCTGCAGATGCTTCAGGCTGCCGCGGTCTGCGCCCAGCTGATGTTGCAGCTGATGTTGCAGTCGTTAGGAGATGGGATAAGAGAGGTAACTGAAGGCCAAATGAGTCAGGACCTTGAATGGGGACTGAGGTGGGAGCCATTATAGGTCCTGAGCAGGGTGACAGAATATAACTTAAACTTTTTGTTTGTTTGTTTGTTCATTCTTGGGATTTTTTTTTATAGTTAATTTCTTTAGGTAGGTTTTTACCCTTCCCCTCCACCCCCTCTACCCTTCTTGATTTCCAATGACTTTTATTCCTCTCTGTGCCCCTGTGTGCCCATTGATTAGTTCCAAATTATTAGAGGGTACATGTGGAGTTTGTTTTTCCATATCTGAGATACTTCACTTAGGATAATTGTCTCCAGTTCCATCCAAATGGCTGCAAAGGACATTAATTCATTTCTTTTTATGGCTGAATAGTACTCCACAGTATGTATACATCACATTTTGTTAAGCCACTCATGAATGGATGGGCACTTAAATTGCTTCTACAACTTTGTGATTATGAATTGTGCTGCAATGAACATTTGAGTGCAGGTGTCTTTTTGATAAAATGACTCCTTTCCTTTGGGTAGATATGCAGTAGTGGGATCGCTGTTATTCTGATTCATTCTTCTCAAATGCACCCCATATATCAGCATATGGACCCACTCACTCTGAGAGCCCACCCCAAGAATCCCTGCCCATAGCCATCTCATTCTGCCTTGGTACCCATCTTCAAGGCCCCTCCTACATAAAGCTTCCCTGGATTCTCCAGGAAGATGTGACTCTTCCTCCTGCTCCGTTGGATCCTATGAACATCCAACATACTTGGCTTAGTCTGTAGTTACAGCTTTTGCTTTTTCTGCCTTGTATTAACTATTGCAAGTCAGATGACAAAATTAGACATGTCTTGCTTTGAGCCTCAGTTGGATCACAGATCCCTTTAGCCATGGATTACATTTCACATAGCAACTCAATGCTGTGAGAGAGTCCTGGGGCCTCCACAATTCCTCAGAGTAGCTTCCAGGCCCTCCACCACGTGACCGCCAGCCACCACCTGCCAATAGCAGTTTTTCCAACAGATCCAACAGTTCAAGTTCATCCACAATCCCAAAGACACAATGAATGGGGATATTCATGTTTGAAAAAGTTAAGAACATACGATCGATCATCTCAGCCATTTTTTTTTCCCCAACTAAACTGCTTTGGACATAAACACCTGTCATTACCCTTAGGAAAGTTGCAGGGATCAGTGTCTCCACCACTTCTTCTGGAACTTGTATGGCATTGTCATCCTTACTGCCTTTATTTATCACATTTATTCCTTCCTCCATTAAAGGCACATTCTTCGGGGATGGTGGCCTCATAGATTTATTTGTGGACCCCACCTCTTTCCTTATTTACTGACACTTGCTCAAAATACATCTGCAGATGGGTTCTTTGCATGGGTCTTCCAAGTTTTCTCCCAGCCTTCAATTGCAAATGAAATCCAAAAAGCAAGGGACCAAAACTAACCTTCTACCTCTGTTATAACAGGATTTTGTGCCACTATATCAAGACTTTGAGAATTTTTATAAGCGAAACCTTTACATTCGAATCAGAGACAACTGGAACAGGCCCATCTGCAGTGCCCCAGGGCCTTGGTTTGATGTGGTGGAGAGGGTGTCGGATGACTACAACTGGACATTTAGGTGAGCAGCCACCTGGAGGTGCTCGGTGGAAAGAAAATCCTTTTAAGGAAATCCTAATGTGGGCAACAGATTACAGATCTGAAAAAAAAAAAACAAGACATGGAGGTGGCTGGGCTTGCATCACTCAGCCCTTTGCAAGCACTCATAATGCCAGTAGAGGAAATCACAGTAATTAAGATGCCAAGGTAGTTTGTTTATATTGTGATTAACACGAGACCTGGCTGGCTTTGCGTGTTCTACACCTGCTTTATTGGAAAATTGTACCCTCCTACTTTTGGCTAAGGAGACAGTGGTGACCATGGCTCTTGTCCATTTGGCAGGCTCTTGCTGGAATTTCAACCGGAGCGTAGGTGCCATGGAAATAAGCGCCTAAGCTAAATCAGGGCTAAGAAACACTCCATGGTTCAGGATACTTTTCTCCAATGCTCTGCCCAACTTCATTATGAGGTTACTGTCCCCTAAGGACAAACCATTTTGTTTTTTGGCAACAGATTTTTTTTTATGCATAATAGATATGTATAGTTTGGGATACATGTGATAATTTAATGCATTTATATACTTTGTAAAGATCAAATCAGTGTACTTGGGATACCCATTACCTTCAATATTTATCTTTTCTTTAAGCTAGAACCATTTGAATTCTTCTCTTCTAGCTATTTTGAAATATATAACAGGTTATTATAAACTATAGTCACTCTACTGATCAATCTAACACTAGGTCTTATTTCTTCTAGCAAACCGTATATTTATACCCATTAATTAACTTCTCTTTATCTCTCCCCCTTACCCTTCCTGAACTCTGGTAACCATCAATCTACTCTCTATCTTCATTAAATCCACTCTTTCAGCTCTCACGTGAGTGAAAACGCACAGTATTTGCCTTTCTGTGCTTGGCTTATTTCATTTAACATAGTGGCCTACAGTTCTATCCATGTTGCTGCAAATGACAGAGTTTCATTCATTTTGTTTTCTTTTTTAATTATTATAATGGTATAATTTAATGAGAAAGAAGAAAACATATCATTTGGGCCAGACCCAAGGTCTCTCAGGTACTAGGATGGTATTAAGTGAGATAGCCCACCGTGCTCACTTACTTGTCTCCCTGCAGGTTTACTGGAAGAATCATCAAAGATGTCATCAACATGGGCTCCTATAACTACCTTGGCCTTGCAGCCAGGTACGATGACTCTATGAGGACAGTAAAGGATGTCTTAGAGGCATATGGCCTAGGCGTGGCCAGCACCATGTGTGAAATGGGTATGTACATTTACTGTTTTGAAATTCCAGTTAGGTCTTCCTGATTCCTTGTGGTTTCCTCTCAAATCTGGATCAGATCCAGACTGTGCACTTCAAAAAGCTGTTGTAAAATGCAAAAAAGAAAAGGGATATTTGTCAATTTCAAGCATTATGCTATTGGGCAGTTTATTAATTAGGTGTTTTAATTCTTGACCATGGACAAAAATGAATCCTTCCTGATCATATTATCTGAAGTAGCAACTATGGTGCCTCCTCCAGCTGGTCCTTTTCTACACTTCACTTCTCTTAAGGAGACTCATCACTGATTAAAATGACCTTGCTTTTGTATTTGTATATGGCCTAACTCTGTTCCTAAACATAAACTCCACAAGGAAAGGGATGGGTTTTGTGAAATGTTGTGTGAAATGAATGAATGAATGCTGGATGAATACACCAGGTGGGGCAGACTGCGTATTTATTTCACTTTTAGCTAAAACATTTTTCTCTTATTCAAAAGAGTGGAAATGGGAGAAGTGAAACTTCCACATCTCTTCAAGAAGAAAGAATAATGCAAGCTTGCTCTTGTAGAGTACTTTGTGATTCTTGGCATGTTGCTTTTTTTAATATAGTATCTCATTTATTTCTGAAAAATAAAAAATTCTGTGCTGTAGGCAGCACAGGTGGTGTTATTCCCATCTTCTGAAGGAGGAAACTGAGGGTCATGGCACCTTAGTGATGTGCCCAAGGTGGTTAATTGAGCATCCTAATTCCCAGTCCAGATGAGCTTTCTCTGCTACAGCAGTTCACCATCCTGGTGACACATGCAGGATTCACCAGGTTGGTCAGGCCTGTCTAAGAATCAGAGGCAAATCTGATAAAAAGGGATTTACTATTAATGGTTAATGAGCCACATGACCCTCGTAGATAACCAGTTAGCAGAAGACTTTTTTAAAAAAAAACTTAATTATACAAACTGGTGCAACAAATAACTCAAATTGAACAAAGTGGGTACTTTTTTCATCCAAGCATTCAGTAAATACTTGGCTAAAACTCCAGAGTCAATAGTGGTTGCCCAGATTTCTTAAGAAAGACATCTTACATATCTTTATTTCGAGGCATAAGGGCTGGAGATGTAAACAGGGTGTGGGGAAAAGGGGGAGGTTTTATTATACTTAGAAGAACTGGTGTCACCTGCCAGGCCCCATTTGGAGATGGGGCAGAGACTGGAGGCATACCCCCAGCCATAAGGGGCACAGAGTCATAACTGTCTGGGATATTTCTTGTGGTGCTGGTGACACCCAATATCAGGGTTGTTAATAACCAGACAGAAAACGCATTCCTGATGAAGACTTCCCAACTTACTGGGACAGAACATTCATGCGTCACAGCTGGCAGAAACTGAAGGGAGGGAAGCTTGACGGTGACGGTACTTTGCCAACAGTGAAAGCCAGATATGGAACATGAGTCCCTGACTCCACAGGTTCAGCAAACCCAGAGAAACTAGGCAGAAATGAAGTTCCCACTTGGTACTACATTCAGTCTAAGTTCTTTCTCCACCTACTCATACTTCTGAATCACTGGGCTATTAATATGTGCTTGCTTCATTCAGCTCTCTAGGTCATGTTCTAAGAAGAGGATTTTAACAGTTTTCAAGTAAATAGTGGGAGACCCAAAGAGAAGCTATTGACACTACTTTTAGGCAAATAAAGGGACTGAAATAGGAATACAAGCAATGAGTTAAGAAATGCATAAAGAAAGAAGGGACCTTTAAAGCATTCTGCAACATTAACAAAAATCTTCACACAGCATGCAAGAATTAGAGGTAGCATAATTCTGAAAGCCACTTATTCTAGACATGCAAATAACTTTTAGAAAACATATGCTTTATATAGCTTTAAGAAAATGTTTAACAGTAAAAATGGTTTAACGATGTACGTTGGAAAGATAGAGGTTTAACAATTTTTAGCAACCAAAATAGCTTCTTGAGAAACCAAAAGTAAAAGTTGAAGGACATTTTATCACTTAAAAGTAACTTCCCAGGGCTTTAAAAAATAGTTGTCAACAATCTTAAGAGGGAAAAGAAAATATAATTCTTATAGCAATGAAGAAATATAAAACAAGGAAATAAAAAGAAAGCTTTTAAAACATAGCAAAAGGTTAGAAGATGGCACATATTATTCTGACAAAAAAATAATGTAACTAGAACAGATATGTCCACTAAAAGAAAAAGGCTGAGATTTGGCCAAATAACTAAACTCAACTGTGTGTTGTAATTTAAAAAAAAATACTAAATTAAAGTTATTCCAAAGGGTGAACAGTAGAAAGATAGATCCCAACCAGGCACCTGGTTCCTACCTCCTTGCTGCAAACACCAACAGTAGAGGGAGGTTGAGTCAGGAGGAGGTGAGGAAAAGGAGGAACCCAAGGAGAAGGTTGTTTGCCAAACTTGCACCAGCAAATGTTAAAACTAAGCCCAAAAATACAGCTAGAAATGATACGTCTTCAGACAGATATGTACAGATGTGCAAATGCTGTTTTTAAGATGTGAAATGATGTACTATTATTTATTTTACAGTACAGCTAAAAAATAGTGTGGAATACAGAATTAAGGATGGCTTTGACTCTTTTGTGGTCAATTTAACACTCCACATGTTAATGAGGGTAGGGAGGGGTCCATTTTTTATATCCTATATGTGAGGCAGAGAAAAATGGCAATTTGGAGTCATAAGCAAGTATTTAAAATGTCTGAAACATTTTAAGTTCATATCTTCTACTGATGTTTTTGGTAGAATGTTCCTGAATCTTGGCTGTCCCTTTCAAATTATATGCATGTTTGGTAGTGACAGTCTAGTTTTGCCTAATAACTTGGTTAAAGTTCTGTGAAAGATTGGAAATTTTTGAGTGATACTAAGTTGTGAATTAGCGAACTCTAGACCTAACAACTTATCAAAGTTTTAAGAGACTGGTACTCAATATAGCTTTCCAAGGTGGCTTGCCTCCAGATTTTTAGCTGGAAAGTCACTAGAATAACTATTTTCAAAAGGATTCTATAACTATGTGGATTTTTACGTTTTCAGCACTGGTATTAAAAATTGTGTATAAATTGTTTATAATGTCTGAGTCTTCAATCTCAAACAATGATAAGTAACATCTCCATTATGCAAGCTTTATAAAATTTACTATCCAGTCCTCATGAAATTTTTCATAGACTATAAATAAGAGATTCCTCAAACAAATAAAAAGTTAAGTTAAAAAAAAAGAAAATAAGGATAACAAAGGTAAAAGTCAAATAAAAAACTGGAAAAAGTTATCCCCAATATATATGATAAAATATTAATATTTTTAACACTTAAAGATTCTCACAAAATCAACAAGAAATAGAGTAACACCCCAATTTAAGAAGTGGGCCAAGTTTTTTCATGAAGTTCAAAGTAGGCAAAACTGCACAGCCAGGATAATGCAACATTTGTCTACCTTTTTCTCATTGCCACCTCACTGCCATGAAATGTTAATGCCATGGATATACTATATGTCTGTGCATATAGTCCATGGATATCTGTACTTGGTACATACATAGAATAAGATAACAGCCTCCCTCCCCCAGGAATCAGTTGTTGTCCCTTAAGGGGAACATCACCTCTGTTGGGAATATATAGGATAGTGGTCACCTCTGGAGGAAAGTGGATGGAAATCAGAAGGGACACAAGGAATTCCTGGGGCCATTCAAATTCAGTTCTTCTGTCTTAATGCAGTTATCTAAGTGTGTTCGCTTTATGAAACTTTATAGAGCTCTATATTTATGACTCGTTTCCTTTGCTGTGTGTATATTACAGTTAAATGAAATTTTTACATTAAAAAGTAGATCCTGTACACAAATGGGCAATTAAGAAAAATATATATATATAAGTGGATAATGAGCCTATGGAAAATACTCTGCTCCAGTAATAATCAAAGAATAATTAAGACATAGAGATCCATTTTCTACCTAATTCATAGAAGTTAAAAAATAATAATTTCCAGTAGTTTCAAAGGAGCGAAGAAAAGACACCCTTATATACTGTTGATAAAGTTCATTGGAGTGCAATTTGGAAAGGTGTCAATAGCAAGCCATTTAACTCAGAAATTCTATTTTGAAAAATTTTGTCTTAAAAAAACTTGAGTGAGTATTTAAAAATGTATGTTCAGGAATAATCATTGCAGTATGATTGATAATGGGGAAAAATTAGGGAAACAAGTGAGTTTCCAACATTAATAAATTGATTAAATATATTTGGTGGACCTGCTCCACATCACATTATTTAGCCATTTGGAATCATAATGTAGTTGCACAGCATCATGTTAATAGCAAAGGCTCTGGGATTAGGTTGCTTGGATTTGAATCCTAGTTCCTCTTGTCGAACTAAAGAAAGACACTGAGGCAAAATTAATATAGTGGGATTATTTGGACAAAGGTTAAGGACAGTTGCCTGGGACATACTTCCAGGTTGCCTTGGGGAGAGCTCATTTTGGCCTTTGTTACAAGCAGGTTTTTAAAGGCAAAGGGGGACAAGGAATCTGCTGATGCCACATTGTTTGACAGGAATTCTCACTGGATTCCAGAAATAACATCGGTCAGTGATAAGCTATAGCTATTGAACTGTAGGGTATGAGTTATGGTGTCCAGCCTATGGCATTTTATGGCTACCTGGCATCAGATAGTCTAGAATCCACATAGCAAATGGCTTCAGGAGGTAATTATTTTTTTGCTCAATGACTTGACTATCATTGCATTTCAATGCCTCTCTGAGTCTGATAACTAAAGGGGGGGTTGCATTCCTCAGATAAAAAGTTTCTTTTCTTTCTTACTCCTTTCCCTACTATGGCCTGTGCCCTCTCTAGTCCTCATTTTTTTTTACATTGTTAAGAAAATAAAACAAGTTATAGAACAGTGTGGATATTATGAGTTCAATTAAAAATGTATTATATATAAATATTTGCATCAAGAAAGGTTATATTTTATTTTGTAGTATTTCCTAATTTTT